GCTACTTAACACAAATGGTGATTATAATCGATCTATATAGCAGTTGATGTTGTACAGAATGATAAGGTAAATTAACTATATCAATATGAGACTTATTTTATTGGGATCGTGTATAATATTGTATAGCACGAGTAATATTATTTATTCCCATTGGAAATGATTTCATGTGATGTGGTATTAAATGACAATACTAATAAAGCGGGTCTCATATTTATATATTTAACCGACCTTATCATTTCAAGTTATATGTTACTTGTCACGTCACATTGGGACCTCCTTAATGCTGATAAAATTGTGCCACTAGTGTTAAAACGATATTCGAAATCGAAAATTGTGTGATCTAACTGTTAAAATCGATATGTGCCAAAAGTTGTAGCAATTCAAAATTCTGTTCAAATATTTTTGAGTTTCTTTAAGAAGACAGTGTTCAATTTGTAGAACTTCTATAAGTTCGTTGTTATTCGAGTCAAAGAATAGTACAATAAGAATTCTATTTCGATCGACAAAGTTGTTATGTTACTATAAAACACTTGAAATGAGTCTTATAAGATATATCTTGAAAGCAAACGTTCAATTATTCTGTTAACACGTAGAAGCGAAATATGTCTTGAAGAAATTGGCAAGCCACATTACTTCTTTATCTTCTACTTCAATTTCTACTTTCTTTTTTTTTCTAACATGTTTATCCTTGAAAAATACAAGCAGAGTAAATTATTCAACCCAATATTAATGAGAGTTGTAGTCATTATTTCTTCCTATCTTTTCTTTTCCTTTTTTTTTATATAAGAATTAAAAAAAAAAAGACTTGTCTTTGCCACATCCACCCTCATTCCCATATATAAACCTCCAACCCCTCCGTTTCTCATTCTCTCAAATCTCCTCGGGCTGCATTAGTATTTTATGACAGCAAACTAGACCAGCCTATAGAAAGAGCAAGACAGAGAAAAAATGGAGATCACTGCATTCGTTCTTTCCATATTTCTATTTCTCGTTGCTGTATTTTCCTATGCTATTTTTTTTAGAAAGAGAAGGAGAAATCCTGAGAGAAAATTTAAACTCCCTCCTGGTTCAATGGGGTGGCCTTATATTGGAGAAACACTTCAACTTTATACTCAAGATCCAAATGTGTTTTTCTCTGATAGACAAACAAGGTTTTAAACTCTGTATCCTCTCTTTATGGCCTTCTCACATACCATAATCTGTTATATTGTTTTTCATCACCAAAATTTTCCTTGTTCAGGTATGGAGAAATCTTCAAGACTCATGTACTTGGTTGCCCTTGTGTCATGTTGGCGAGCCCGGATGCAGCTCGGTTTGTGCTTGTCACTCAAGCACACTTGTTCAAGCCTACTTATCCCAAGAGCAAGGAAAATCTTATTGGCCCAAATGCACTGTTTTTTCACCAGGATGAGTACCATATGCGCCTCAGGAAACTCGTTCAACGCTCCTTGTATCCTGAAGCTATTCGAAACCTGGTGCCATTCATTGAAGCATCAGCAGTTTCTGCATTGAATTCATGGGCCGATGGTCGTGTTGTTAACACATTCCATGAGATGAAAAAGGTTTTCTTCTTACAATGAAGAGAGTTAAACTGATCTTAGATTGAATTTTCGGTATTTTTTTCCTTATTTGTTTTAACTGGTATTCATATCTAATTTCTGTCTATCGTTGTATTCCTGTAGCTCTCTTTTGAAGTAGGTGTACTTGCCATTTTTGGTTATTTGGAGCCCTATTACAAAGAAGAGTTGAACAAAAACTATGAAATAGTAGATAGAGGTTATAATTCTTTCCCTACAAATTTACCTGGAACTCCGTACCAGAGGGCAATGAAGGTAAAGTTTTACTATTTATAATTTTAATTTGCATCAATCATTTACATAATCGCGACTTTTTCGACTCGTTGTGCTTCAATTTTTAAGGCGAGGAAAAGGCTGAGCGAAATTCTAAGTGAGATCGCTAGAGAAAGAAAGGAAAAGAAATTAGTCGAGGATCAGGACCTGTTAAGTTGTCTCCTGAATTCGAAAGATGAGAACGGTGTGATTCTAAATGAGGATCAAATTGCTGATAACATCATAGGAGTACTCTTCGCAGCCCAGGACACCACAGCAAGTGCTATGACATGGATTCTCAAGTACCTCTACGACAACCCCAAACTTCTCGAGGCTGTTAAGGTAAGATCTACAAGTGGACTCACTGTATTGCGACACGTCTTTGATCTTAATTGTGTTTAATTTCCATTAGGCGCGCATAATGATTCCTGTTTTTTGTGCTTGGAATAATGTATGCAGGCTGAACAGAAGGCGATATACCAATCAAATGGCAATGGAAAGAATCATTTGACATGGAATCAGACAAGAAATATGCCAATTACTTACAAGGTATAGTTGACTGTTTAATTGATAATAAATTATTAACTTGACTATATAGGTACATGCAAGTGAATCCAAAAGTGCTCGTCTTTTCTTCTATATTTTTCTCAAAGGGAAGAATTTGTACATTTTGCTGTTGTATATGCTTCACATTGCACGTTGACTTGAAATTAAACCTCCTTAACAATTAATCTGATTATTCAGGTGATTTTAGAGAGCTTGAGAATTTCCAGCATTATATCTTTCACATTTAGAGAGGCAGTGATTGATGTACAGTATAAAGGTAGGCTCCCACTTAAAGGAACACTTGAATGCAAATGTAGTGTGTGCACACGCGTGTCTACGATCGAGGAATCGAAAAATTATATATCAAATTTGGTTTCAGGTTATCTTATTCCAAAAGGTTGGAAGGTTATGCCTTTGATCAGGAATATTCATCACAATCCAGAATTCTTTGCTGATCCCCAAAAATTTGATACTTCAAGATTTGAGGTACCAGTTTATTGTACCAAACATATTGGTTAGATCTATAATTTGCAGATTAAGGCTATTTTCATTTATGTTCAATGTAGACTGCTCCAAAACCCAATACATATATGCCATTTGGCAGTGGAGTACATGCCTGCCCCGGTAACGAATTTGCCAAACTAGAGATGCTCATTATGGTGCACCACCTAGCTTCTCAATTCAGGTATTCTTCTTAAACTAAAACGTTTAACTTCATAATTAGAACAGTTTTGCTACACTTACTTTATATTTGACAGCTTTGTTTTACACTCCATGATGTAGCACACAATTTTGTCATTGATTTTAATAACAATTAGAACAATCAATGGCCTCGATTTTTTTGTCGTCCATGATGTACAAAAGTGATGTACAAGTAGCTTAATTCTAATTGGAATGTTGTATTCTGTGTTTCATTGTAATGTCTTCTTAAACTAGTTTCAAGCGCTGCTTTGCAAAATATCTGAGAGGAGCATTTTTCTCTGTTTGATAATTGTCGTTTTCAGGTATGAAGTGGTGAGATCTGAAAATGGAACCCAATATGGGCCATTCCCAGTCCCTTTACATGGACTGCCAGCCAGTTTTTGGAAAGAAGAATGGACCAATTAGGTCATGCAGCATGGCCTCACCTGATAGCATAGCATGTCATTTTTCATTTTCTGCTCTTTGTTTTCAACCCCATTCCTTTAAACTCTTGTGGGATGAATGATACCCCATTATATTTTCCTTTCACAGTAGGTTTCTCTTTATATTAAACTAAGACCTCCCCATTCATGTCTCCGTCATCTACAGCTAGCAATTTGTAGTTTTGTACCATTTCACATTGAAGGAATGGATGTGAAAATGTCAATGTTAGAAAAGGTAGATTTTGAATCATGAGCTAAATTTTTCCTTTTTCTTGACTACGGAAAAAGCAATTGTTGGAACCTCACTTTCTGCTGGTCCTCCATTTTTGGTTGGGTGATGGCTACATTGTGCCATACGTTTATGCAAGGTGTCGAGCATTCCTTGCCTATCCCATAACGCATTCTTGTTTTGAGATGCTAACAGAGAACCAGGTGGTGAGTCTCTAATTGGTCGAGTGAAAGAGGGAGAACACACTACTTTCTTGACTGCAGTTTTAGCCCCCGAGTGTTTCATGCATTCTTGAAAATTCTTACTACACCTACACATATCAAATTCCTCTAGCACAAAGAATGTGTATCACACTATTTATGAGTTATGACTTCCTAACTGAAGGTATAGGTTGACGCAAGAAGTGCATGGTTGGATATTCATTAAGAACAGAGAATGGGTTGAAAAGTACTAAACGATAATGTTAAGTTGAAGTTAACATTCCAATTTCCAAGAAGACATCTTCATTTCCAACCAAGACTAAGATAATAGACGTCTCTGTAAAGAATCGTACAGGGAAGAATTTCACATTCCCCCTGTTTGAGCCACATTATTTTTTTCACTCACAATTTTTCTACTTATTTTCAACCACACATGCTTAAATAAAATATTATTTTCCATCACATCAATAATTTTTCCTTCTTTTTCAACCACATATCCATCACATCAAACAAAAAAATTCATTCTTGGACTCAAAATGTGCACCAAATAGGGGCTCAAAAATGAAAACTAATGTTCTCTACATTTTCAAATAGAGAAGAAATTTATGGATGTTGTATATTGAGTTAATGGATCATAGTTAGAAAGACACATCAATAAAAGACATGTTTTTCATATTCATAATAAAGATCGATTAAAATTTGCTCAACTCTTGTATGTGTATATTCTGTTAAAAAATAACTATATCTCAATCTGAAAATTGAATGTTTTTGATTTGACTGGTTAAGTAAATTCATACCTTCTAGAGCTCAATGGAAAATAAAAATAAATGAACAAAGAGTCAATGACCAAAACAGTAAATTACATTTCTTTTTATTATATACCATACCAATACAAAGGAGGAGGGTTCCATTACATATCAATATAATTTCCTTCCACAGAAGTTTTATTAACAATATATTAAGGATGCCACATGTGACAATATGCCACATGTGACAACTATTCTCGAACACAAATTTCAATTATAGCACTGTGATTGTAAGAAGGCAAAATTTAGGACATAACCAGATTGAATTAAGCTTCCTGAGAAGTCAGGGTTGAATATTTGAGAATGGCTTCAAGTATTCGTTTTTTATCTCTGGTAGGAAAAGCTTCCAATAGGACTCCATTTTTGTAAAAATGAAAAAGGGGAACAGTCTGCATCAAATCAGTTTATTTCAGTTAGAGAAAAGAGGATGCAGTGAAGAAATCACGTATGGCATATTGGCTATGCATAGATGTGCAGTACGTGTGAAAACATTGTGGTAGTCACTAGAAAGATTTTCGAATGAAGTTTAACAAACGAGTAACTTTTTTCACTTCCCTTGGTTTATCAATCCTCAGCTGATAGCCATTATCCCAGTTCTAGGAACAATGTTTGTGTATGCATGAACTGAGAATTTCCAAAACCTAAAATCCAAGTAAAAGGCACTAAGAGATGTTACCCTAATTCGCAGCCGATCAGCAACATCAGTTTGTTCGTCATATTCATCAAGTACCTGCAGAAATAAAAAACAAGGAAAGTACATAAATTTTCTTCTCTATAACACATCTTGTTCCTGGCTACCTAAGAAGCACGGATACGTAATTCGATTACGATATGATATAGGTACACCAATACGATTTTTAAAAAAAAAATAGGATAGGCGGATACGAGTTATAAAATTTAACATAAACTCGTTAATATAAAAAAAAATTAAAACAGATGCATAATAATAAAAACAAAATACTAAAACATTTTATCTTAATCCTTAATTGTCCAAACTTCATTTTCTTCAATATCATCAGCTTCTTCATTATCATTAAAAATAACAATCTCTAACTCTGGCTCATCTAATGATGGATTAGCAACCTCAAGCGATCCAACGCCTTCAAGATTATAAAATGAATCTCTGACAATGTCCCACAATTTGGATTCTCCATTTGAATGGAGATTTAATTTTCTTGATAAAAGATGCAAATTACTATGAATAAAAATTAATTCTTCAGCTCGTTGTGGAGTTATTTTATTCCATCCCAGAGAGTGCACAAAAGAGTGAGTACTTCATTTTTTTCAGCACAAGATGAAGAAGAAGCTTGTACAAGAAGTTTCAAAACAATGCTTTGAAGTAAAGGTGTACGTGAACCATGAAGTAGCTACTAGGTCTTTGAATCCATATTATATCGAGTAGTGATAGAATCAAACTCCCCAATAAGTAAAAAACATACATTTTTTCAATCTATAGTCAATAATAATGAGTCTAAAAGAGTTTAAAATCGATAACAATCTTCTTCGCATGTCCTAACATATAAGATACATATTGAAAATAATTAAAAAGATATATATCGTACGTATTGAAAATAATTAAAAATACATATCCAATCGTATCAGGAATTTAAAAAATAAAAAATTATAAAATAATTAAAAAACATGTATCTAGTGCATATTGGAGGGTATCGGAAAGTATAGAAACTTCTATACATATTGAATATGGATACATAATAACTTTACAAGTATCCGTGCTTCTTAGCTGGCTACTATTAGCGACGAAGCCACTATAATATACACTAACTATTCCCAAATTTTACGTGAGGCACTACGTCCTCAAATTCAACTGAAAAGACACTTACATTGTGCTTTAAGAATATAACTGGGGCTTCTTGATCACCAGATCCTTTGCATAATTTTGTAAAGCCCTGCTCTATGTACTTGCAGCTTCCACAGGAAGTTCGATAGAAGTCCACAACAACTAACGAATTGGATTCTTTGGCTCTTTCCAGAATTATGAGAAATTCCTCATCAGTCTTAAACTCTTTTACGCATTCAACTGGACAGAGCTCATCGTCATCATCAGATAATTCGACATTTTCATCAGGCATACTTTCGATTCCAAATAATCTAGGCACAAAACCTTTGTTTATTACGACTGTAAATCTATTTCCAGTTTTCCATTGAATTCTCGCTTTCAAGTGACGCGAGTTAATGATACTTCTATCGTGAAACAAATTTCGCAATACAGCTGGAAGTCCAGAATCCAGTTGCCCATTGATATTTCTCACAAAACTGAAAGAAGACTTCTGGTGAAGAATCTTCACGTGCGCCATATTTGTGTGTTGAGGAATTCTCAGGGAAATATTTAAAATGCGCTAAATAGCTATTCCACATGGTACAGCAACAACTCTTCAAGAATTTATCATGTCATATCTGATGAATAAATTTACTGATTTTAACTATCATGAAAATCACTAGCAATCTTTTTACACAAAAATGCCACCTATTTCAATGACATGATTTGGAAAATTAAAAAGGAAATAAAACCAGAAGCAGCAAAAGATCCATTAATAGTATTTACTGTATAGAATATGACTTCTGATAACCGCCTAGTAATAAAATGAACAATTTTACCCTGCAGAAAGTAGAAGCACTTCCGTAAATTCTAATAGATTTGCCCAATTCATCTAATAGTTTGTAGGAATGACAAAAGAGAGTACATCTTACACCTATTTCTCACTCTAACTGAACATACCGAAGGAAAAAATAGCACAACTCATAACAAGAGGGAGAATGCAAACATAAACACTCCCCACTACCCAAATTTTATATCTTTGTTAGGAATGACCAGCAGAGATTGAAGTACTGGTGGAAGATCAATTTGATGAGTGATGCCTGTAAATCCTGTTAATTTTAACAAAATGCCTATGCTGTTCAAGATTTGGTAAGAACCATACCTACCTGATTTCGATCAATATGAATGTCAAAAGAAAATCACTCTCTGTTAATAGAAGTCAATTAAGTTCCAACCTTAGGTTTAAATTCTAAGCCAGAAAGTGCCTCTCTTGTTGAATATTTCCATAAAATTCTGTAAAGGCTCACTCATGAAAACAATTACTTACCATTGTAACATCATACAAAAAGTTCATCCAAATAAATTTTAAAAAAAAAAAAGAAGCCAAGAATTACACATAACAGCAATTTACTGGCAAATCCAACACAAGATGCATTGACAGAGTATGCAATAAAGAAACAGAAATGCTGTCCAAATATAAAAGAGATTTAGAAGGAAACATAAGCAAGTTTAAATTTAAGGATGGGATTTAACATTTGTATAGTTTAAGGAGAGATTTAGTTACTTGGGATCTCTGGAATCGCGCGCGATTGCGGAAATGTAAGCTGTGGATGAGGAAATGGACATGAAAGGCCATTATTCTTCCCAGTCGCTGTGTTTTTAGCTTTTGGATTTTCAAAATTTAATCATATTGCAACTAGGCTCCCCATCTCACTCTAAATTTCAGATTTTCCCCAAATTTATTGTCTACTACCACTACTCTATTGTTTACACTTTACTACCATCGGTGAACTTAATTGAATTTTAATCATTTACTAAAATATTTTGAATTAATATACTTTATAACACCTTCATATATTAAAAATGTACGCATTATGTTTGCTCGATGGGGTGGTTTCCTTCCGGGTCCGTCTTCAAATTTTAGGGACTTTATGCCAACTTTAAATATCAAGCCTATAAATATTAAAAAAATAATTATATATATCCGTTTTAGAACTTTTTCAATGAACACTTGACCAATCAATTCAACCATTCTTATGACAATGTTAATCAAATGTAGAATTTTATCAACTTCACTTTAAGAATTTATTCTCGTAGACATAATTGTAACTGTTATAGTTAATAATATTGTACAAACAATTCATGCATTTGGAAAACAATAATCCACAATTTTAATGTTGTCTAGTACTTTAATCGTCTTTTTGGTCTATGTGGTAAACAATTTCTCAAGTTTGCAACTTAAAAGTTAAAATCTAAAGAACAAATGAAGCGCAAAACCATCTTTAATATAGCAAAAGGTTCTTGATGGTTCTAACTTATTAATGAAGCACAAAATTCTCTGCACAAATTATGATGAAAAAAAAATTTTTGTTGAGGGAATTTACTGATAGATATTACAATTCAACGTGAAAATAAGAACGTGATTCTTATTCCGACTTGTGGAGCAATCTGGATTCAATTGTAAGAACGATAAAAGATCAAGATTGTGTACTTTGTTCCACTCGTTAGCAAACTAAAAGGGCTAACTACATGAGGGAGGTTTTCCTTGCTTTTGATTTTGCTTTTGCTTTTATAATTAGGTTATTTAGTTATGCTCAAGAAATCATCGTAATTCCGAAAAATTTGAAATGATTGTATCATTCTTTTATAGTGAATTATTTACATGTTGCATTGAGGCCCGTGGATATTTTCCTTGGGGTTTACAACTGTATATTTTTTATTTTCTCTATCCAACTTAGTGGATGTTTGATGAGAATTAAAATTAGATTTTTAGTAAATTGTGATAGAAATTTTTGAAATGTGTGGTTGAAGTTGTGAAACACATGAAAGATATGGTTAATATTGATTTTTTTACTTTAACTTACATTAAAATCTGATTTTAATTTGAAACAAACGGGACCTTAATTCTTTTTGTATAACTTTCTCTAAAAGTTTAAAAAAGTAAGCGTCTTCTCTCAAAGTTGCTATTTTTTTTTAAGAGATAATTCCTTTTCAACCCGAGAAAATTTGTATCACAATCCAGAGTCCTTTATTCAAGATAACTAGGTAAAAAAATCTCTCTAATTCCTAGCTTCTTTGACAATCGACGAAGAAACATTTTCGATCCATCCTCCCTAGACATTTGGGACCCCTTTGAGAGCTTCGCTTTCTCAACCACAGTAGCCAATGTTGTAGCACATACTATTTCTATCAGCATAAAGAAAATTAAAATTATATCTGCCGTGCTATAGGAACAGATTCAAAAACAGGGCTGCCACGTGTCGACGACTGATTGAGCAGTCTAAAAAAAAAATCAAATTAATACATACCACACCACCCTGTTTTTCTCCCTTCTGTTTGGAGTAGTGCTATGGGTACATAACACTACACGTAATGGTTCACATAAGGGGCAAGTGGCGCCTCCCCATTGGAGGGGCGCCTCGGCCCACATGTGGGGTTGAGGCGCCTCTCTAATGGAGAGGTGCCACTTGGCTCTTATGTGAAGCATTATGAGAAATGCTATGTACAAATAACATTTCCCGTTTTTAAATTTGGACGAGTATATCATGTAAAAGTCACAATCAAATGGCTATCATTAATCCTGGAAAGTTCAAGACAACGTGCCCTCTACGTCTGACTTTCTCAAGACCAGTACTCGTTAGTTAAAGTTAAATCCATAGTTTTCCTCTTGATCTTGTATGATTTTTCAGTGCCAATGACACTGTAATTATAAGAATTTATGCCTTAATCCACCATCACCAAATGTCTATCTCTCAATGTGAATAAAGATTCAGCTGTTACTTGTCATGTAGTAGGGAAATTCCAAAATTTATCCGAATTCCAGTGTGAGTATTTGTACAAAAAAGTCAAGAAACCCGGCTGTGAAATCCCATATATACTTTTTGTATTTCCTGGTCATTGCCAAAGAAGAATCATTGAATCAACGATGACTGTTGTTTTCTCCTTTCTTTATTATCTCTTTCTTATTTTCTCACTTCTTCCCGCCATCGTTACCCCGACCTTGTTATTTCAGGTAATCAGCAACTCCCACTTTTAAATGAGTTCGATCTGTGTTGGAAAAAGCATGTTTATAGTGTGTTAAAGATTTGAGGTTTCATCTTAAAATGTCAATTTTATTAAAAAGACAACTCATAAGTTGGTCTATGTTTTTATCTTTATTCGATGTGGGATTTTCATCCCTTTCGAGAATACCAATCTTAAAATCCGTGTGCTCAATTTTTTTAAATCTTAATCGAATCGAATTGTTCTTTAGTAACTTTGATATCATGTTAAGATTTTGAGTTCTTTATTAAAAAGAGTAACACGATCCTTTATAAATTGTCTAAATTTTCATTTTTATTCGATGCGTGATTTTCATCCCTTAGCATAGTGAGTGTTTTGTGTGTTTTAGGGATTCAATTGGGAGTCAAGTAATAAACAAGGAGGATGGTACAACTCACTCATCAATCTTGTACCAGAACTGGCTAACGCTGGGGTCACCCATGTTTGGCTACCCCCAGTCTCCCACTCAGTTGCACCCCAAGGTGAGTTACTATTATCTTGCTGGTCTTTTTCTGAGAAAACTTTGTTACTTAGTACGCACTGCTGGACAGGACACAACATCCCTTGCTATCGTATCCGTCTGCGTATAAAAAAGACTTGGTTGTTGAATTTTTGGCTTTAGATCCGAAGACTAATCCTTACGGCTTCACTTCTCAATAGCTTCAATACATAGTAAATGTCAGTTTGTAGCTTTGTTCTATTCATTGACATATTTTACCCTTTTGCGCTCAGTCGCAGGGTTGCTGTTGTGAGGCTCAGTCTTAATCTTAATTTCTCCATAAAATTGCGAAATATCTGAGAATTTTAAACATTTGATATGGTGGAATGCTAATAATATAAGATATTCCTCCTTATTTTCCAGGCTATATGCCAGGAAGATTGTATGATCTCGATGCATCCAAATATGGAAATGAACAGCAACTGAAGTCATTAATTAAGGCTTTCCACGACAAGGGTATCAAATGCGTTGCTGATATAGTAATAAACCACAGATGTGCTGATAAACAAGACGGGAGAGGTATATATTGCATTTTTGAGGGAGGGACTTCTGATGATCGCCTCGACTGGGGGCCATCATTCATTTGCAAAGATGACACTCAGTTTTCGGATGGCACCGGGAATCCTGATACCGGAGATGGCTTTGAACCTGCTCCAGACATAGACCATCTTAATCCAAGAGTACAAAAGGAGTTATCAGACTGGATGAACTGGCTCAAGACTGAAGTTGGATTTGATGGTTGGCGATTTGACTTTGTCAAGGGATATTCTGCAAGTATCACCAAAATCTATATGGAATACACTTCACCGGATTTTGCAGTTGGGGAACTCTGGAATTCACTTTCCTATGGGCAGGATGGGAAGCCGGATTACAATCAGGACAGGCATCGGAATGAACTCGTGCAGTGGGTTCAGAACGCGGGAGGCAGTGTTACAGCTTTCGATTTCACAACAAAGGGAATTCTTCAAGCTGCAGTACAGGGAGAACTGTGGAGATTGAAGGATTCTAATGGAAAACCTCCTGGAATGATAGGGATTTTTCCTCGGAATGCTGTTACTTTTATTGACAATCATGATACTGGATCTACACAGAAACTTTGGCCATTCCCAGCAGAAAAAGTCAGTCTAGGATATGCTTACATTCTCACTCATCCAGGGATTCCATCAGTGGTAAATTCCCCATCTACAGCTTCTCCAGGCTTAACTTTTGTTTGAGTTCTGTACATATCTAAACATTAACTCTGCTCATCAAGATATTTCTACATGTAAATCGACTTGAATGCTCAAATTCTTGGTTAAAACAGACTTGTTTACAACCTTACCATTAACTGAAGATTGCTCATTTTGTTGTGCAGTTTTATGATCATTTCTTTGATTGGGGAAAGAAGGAAGAAATCTCTAAACTGTCATTGATTAGGTCAAGGAATGGCATCTCACCAAGTAGCAAAGTGCAGATTATGGCTTCTGATTCTGATCTTTATGTGGCAATGATTGATGATAAAATCATTGTCAAAATAGGCCCAAAGATGGATCTTGGAAATTTAATTCCACCAAACTTCAAGGTTGCAACCTCTGGAACAGACTATGCTGTTTGGGAGAAAAACATGTGAATCAAATATATTTAACATTACAAAGCCAAATTACGTAAAACTAAGATGTTGCCTGAATAAGAGGGAGTATGAACCAAAAGATCATTTAATGTTTGATATTTTTACTGTTACAATTATTTACTTAAGAGTGGGACGAGAACTGACAAATAGACTCATGACGTGTACCTCATGAATTCTCAGTTCATGTAATTTTGAGGTAGACTATTTTACAGTATAAAATTGTGTCATCTAAAAAGGAAACCATTGGAACGACTAGAATGAACATTACTCTAGAGAGCTCTCTGAAAAGAAGCGTAGCCAAATGGAGGGGGGCGATCACCCTCCACTCTGGTTCCATGTTTTATGCAAAAATTAAGTGCCCATTGGTTAATTGAACAGGAAATGCCCTAATACAGTCCAAGTTAGCTGATATGAAGATAGTAACTCATAAGCAGAATGTATGGATTGGAACTGCGAAAATTTTTCTTCTGTAGCAAAAAATATTTCTAATTCTGCTCTTCCCCTGTTGTTTTCCTGATTTATTCAAACTTCTGTAGCTACTTTGCTCTGTTTTCCATACACAACCAACTTAAAATTATTGATGCAAAATTCTGTCACAATACAACTGAAAACTGTGTGCTTACCCTTTACCAACCTTCCTTTCCTTTTTACTTGTATCATTAACTTCAAAAACTTCCTAGAGCATATTTTAATGGTATTAGACTATTAGTTCTAGAAATGCCAAAATCTTGGGTCATTGAGAATTGTCAGTTGGAGTGGTACCTGGTTGCTTCTATAGACTGGACAAATGTAAGGTGCAACATGGAATTTTCAACGAGTAAAGACTGAATCTCAAAATGTCATCTGTAAGATGATTTTATCATTAATAGTCACTTTATGCACGAGAGGTTTGCAGTCAGCAACTCATCTGAAGTGATCAACTCCAACAAAAGTTCGATCTAACAGTGCATCTAGCAGGCGGTTGCTCATGTAAACAAAGCCTTTTGGTTCACTTGTGCACCTTATTAGGTTTATTGCCTATAATCGTCAGAATATAGTGCCTCTTGCTTGACTCAGTACAGTGAGGATTGAATTCTTTCTATCTGCTTGTTGAATTGACAAATCTTCAAAACTAATTTTGGAGCTATTAGGTTAAGCCAGCAATCTTACTGTCGTTGTAATAACAGGAGAAGCTCATGGTCTCTATATTGCTCTTGCATGTCTTCTTGTATGAAAAAAAATTTTAAAAAATGTGGATAAGCGGAAGTAGCCATAGCAAGGAGCTCGGATAGAATGATAGACTGATTGCCCCCATCTGCGCTCACTGTGGGAAGACAATGTTGCTTTCGAGATTGCTGGATCCATGCATATTTGGTACACAAGGACTGGATAGAATTGGAAGCAAGACATTAGTTTATTTTCTTCCTTGACACTATTCAATATTATCTAACCCTTTTTCACTACAAACATATTTCTCGTCCAAGAGGCAAACATTTTATAAAATTAATAATCAACTATGATGAAGTGGAAACCAAGCCAAGGGCTCAAAATAAATGGATAAGTGGGCCCATCCTATCATGTTTGTCATGCAGTTAATCGCAAGAAGTGTTGTGGTCCGAATTTTACAACGTCTCCTACCCCTACCTAAGTAATTTGCAGGATATTGATTAAAAAAAAAAAAGCAAGATGCACGTTTCAGTTGGGAGAGGCTTCCAAATTCTGGCGCATACTGGTTCATCCCCCTTCCCTGGAAGGAGCAGCCATAAAACTGCATTTAGTGCAACAAAGACTAACAGGCTTGTGGAAATAGGATCTTCCTCGCACCACCCTCGAGTGGTAGTTCGAGCCCAGAACCGCCCGACATGGCTTCCTGGCCTAGACCCTCCACCTTATCTCGATGGAACGTGAGCCTCACGCTGCCCCTTCTTTTAAATATTACTGTATAAGGTTAAGGTACATCATGTCTACACTTGCTCCATTAAAATGATCAATGTTTTTGTAGACTTGCTGGGGATTTTGGGTTTGATCCCCTTGGACTTGGTGAAGATCCCGAAAGTTTAAAGTGGTATGTCCAGGCAGAACTTGTTCATGCACGCTTTGCCATGGCCGGAGTTGCTGGGATTCTTGTTACTGATGTAAGTGACTAAAACCATAATAATTCACTGCTAGTGTTTCAATTCTCCTTCATTAACTTGTGCATCAAATTGAGATACCGTTTAATTTCAATCCACAGCTACTACGCGTTACAGGAATAAGCAATCTGCCAGTGTGGTATGAAGCCGGTGCAACTAAGTTTGATTTTGCTAGCACGAGAACTTTAGTCATTATTCAGCTTCTATTAATGGGGTACAATCCTATTTCTCTTAGAATACGGTGTGATGACATTTTAAAATCCTAGTCCAGAGATACAATTTCTTATATACATTAGTCTATGCTTATATATCTATGCAGATTTGTTGAAACCAAAAGATACATGGATTTCAGGAATCCTGGATCTCAAGCTAAAGAGGGGTCTTTCTTCGGGTTAGAAGCAGCACTAGAAGGGCTCGAACCTGGGTAATCTTCTTTTGCATTAGTAATTAGTGTCTTTATTAAGCATTTGACGGGTATGTTGTTGATTAGATTGCTGTAAAAAAACAATAATTTTACTAAAAATGGTTCAAAAATTAAATTCTAAAGTTTTATTGTGTATTCAACAGGTACCCTGGAGGTCCTTTGCTAAATCCTCTTGGTCTTGCTAAAGATATAAAGAATGCTCAAGAATGGAAGCTGAAAGAGATTAAAAATGGTCTATTTGGCTTCTGCGACTTTCTTTCTTCGCCTCTCTTTTCTCTTCTATAATTAACACTTTCCTATTTGTTCCAATTTTCCCTTTTATTTTTGTAGGACGGTTAGCAATGGTGGCCATGCTCGGAATTTTCGTTCAAGCTAATGTTACCCATGTTGGCCCTATTGACAATCTCATAGAGCATCTCTCCAATCCTTGGCATAAAACAATCATTCAAACACTTACTGGACCTGGTTCTTAAATCTTCAGAGACTGCAATTGGTTCCTATGTATGTCATATTGCTGTTCCGTAACAGGTGAAGTTACCTGTTGCAAGGAGAAATTTGTATTATCCGGAAACTTTTTAAAATCGTTTAATTTCAACCGATTTTGCCTTGAATATAGGATGACTGTGTGTTACCTGGAATTTATTTATTAATACCAAAACTAAGATTCAATGTCCCCAGAATCTCAGTGAAGGACAAATATCATGCTTTCGAGTTGGCAATCCACTTGGCAGAACATAAAAAATACGAAATAACATGATGAAGTGTATATTTCCACTGGAAGAGAAATCTCAGAAAAATACAATTTTTATGCTGGACTTCAATTCCAAAATCACACAAAAATCTTATTAATCACACAGGGCTAAACTTTCTTCATCCTTTGAAATCCACAAACAGTTTATTCCTTGTGAACCAAGAATTCAATTTGATCAATTCATTCTACATACAACAATACTTAGCATTTACAGAAATAGACTGTCATAATGTACTCACACCGATACCAAAGAACTGGGGGTACACGATAGACAAAGGGAGGTACACAAAAATAACCACAAAATTAATAACAAGAAGATTATTTCTAGGAGTATGAACAGAATATTACTTCGACTTAGATGACAGTACCTTCTTTCTCGCAAAGAACATGAAGATCCGTGGGAAGAATTTTTTCTTTTTATGGGTAGCTTTTACTTCTCGCGATGAATCAGTTTCTGTGTTATCCGTATCTGGATTAGGACCATCCTCAAGCTGAATATTAGTTGTGCTAACCAAATTCTCAGGTTCATTTTTTTCCTCAAAGCTTGTTCTTGGAGTTCCATTTGGGTTTACCCCGCCTGGAACAGATTTCTCAACTTTCCGTTTTTGCTCATGCTCAGCCCTCCAATTTCTTAACTCCTGTTCTACTCTTAACTTTTCTTCCTTGGCTTTCTCATCCTTGTTTAGTGCAACTTCTAGAGCATCCTTTCTTTCAGCCATCACACGATCTACTTCCTGCAGATTACTCAAGCTCCTTAACTCAGACTCCTTCGCTACCTCAATTTGGGAGATAGCCGCAGCCACCTTCATGTTAGCTAGCTCTTCTGCCTCATGGACCCGCTTGTTAAGATCATAATATTCTTCTAAAGAAAGTGTTAAACCAGCAGGTGAATCCTCATCGTTGGTAGCAGATTCACTCTCTTGCAAAGCATTGATAGCTGCTAATGCCACTTTTTCTGAAGCTTTAGCTGATTCTATTTCCTTTTGAGCCATAGGTAATCTACTTAACATGGTACTTGCTACTGCTTTTGCTTCTTCAGCTTCTTCATTTGCCTCCTGAAGCCGTTCTTGAGCCAATTGGGCAAGTGTCTTTGCCCTCTCTGCATCTTGAGCTGCCTCTTGAAGTTTCTTGAGAAGTTCCATCTTCTTATCTCTTTCTTCTTTTTCCTTCTTCTGAACAATGACAATCTCTGACTTTATCCTTCTCAGCTCATCTTCAAGAGATGCAATTGCAATTGACGCCATTCCTTCTCTCTGTTGAAACATGACAATTTCTGATTTTTCTTTCTCCAGTTCTGACTTCAATGATGTGGATTCCACCTTCAAGATGTTAGCTTCAGTTTTTGCTTGCTCAATGTTGAGCTTCGTGTTTTTAAGTTCCTTCTCAGCAGAGGCAACAGCTGTTTTAATAAAACCATGTGTTTTTGTCTCTGGATCTTCCAGTGCATCTGTCAGGTTAGCTTCTTCAACAGTTTCCTGCTTTGAGTTTGATTCCATATAAGCTGCCAATTTAGCTTTTAAATCCTGTAGTGATCCCGAGGCAGTATCCAATTTTGATTTCAGATCCTTGGCCAATGACATTCGCTGGTTTAGTTTCTCTAACTCATCACCTGCCTCCTTTAATTCCTTCTCCCAATTCAGAGTGTCTTCCACTTTTGCCACAACTGCTCCAACTCTGTGTTCGTCTGCCTCTAGGTGTGTATCATGTGCATACTGCAATGATTCCTTTGCTGAAATGAGTTCAATTGTCAGATCCTCCACCGATTTGTCAACTTCTTTTGCTGCAGAAACAGTTTTTTCCGCTTTCTGCACTGCAGCATTCTTCTCAGTTATCATCAAAGTGTAATCTTTCCTTAGTTGTTCCAATTCATCTCTAACAGTTTTAAGCTCTGAAACCGCGGCTGCGTTCCTGGCTCGAGCAACCTCAAGCTGTGCCCTGGCTGCAATGCTAGCCTCATCGCCAATCCCTTGCTCCATCTCTTCCACCCTAAGTTTTGCGAGTTCAGAATCTTGTTTTGCTTGATGTTCTTCTGTTTGTGCTCTTTCCAGATTAAGCTTCAAATCTTCTACGAGTCTTTTAGTGCTGTTTAGTTCTTTTAAAACTTGTATCTTAGCCACTTCAGCATCCTCAACTTGTTTTTTATACAACGGAATCTCCCCCTTGGCTGTCTCCAGTTCTATTTCTATGAACTTTCGTCTCTGCATGGGGAACCAGACCCAGTTAGAGGTATACTGAATGCCATGTTATAAGCAATGTTCACATGAAAGCCGGTGTGTAGGAATGTCGACTTTTTTCACAGGTTATAAAACAGTTTGACATACTTACAGAGAGAACAGAGGATAACATATTCACATGAGACATTATGTAAATGGACGTTTGTACATTAAATTTGAAACAAGCACCAATTTCTGTTTCTTGATAACCTGAATCGCAATTAATTTGTGCAGCAATATGAAACACAACATATATAGTGGGGAAAATTGCGGCCGTGGTCCCAAACCTTTCATTTTGTTGCAGATTATACCCAAACCTTTTATTTTTGCGGCCAAAGTCCCAAATCTTTATATGTAGTTGCAGCGTCGGTCCCAAGCCTTTAATTCCGTCCATAAAACCGTAAGTCAACATTTCAACTGTAATTTTGACTCGAAAAAATTGCAGCGCTAGTCTCAAACCTTTCATTTTGTTGCAGATTACGCCCAAACCTTTAATTTTTACGGTCGAAATCCCAAACATTTATATATAATTACAGCGTTGGTCAATTTCACCCATTTCGTCCATAAAATCATCAGTCAACGTTCAAACAGTAATTTTAACTCAAATGATATCTTAATTTATAGGTAAAATTGTCAAAACAAGTTATCCAAAAAAATCACAGATATCACACTCTCATCATCGATAACTATCTGATTAGATAATAATTCGATCCGATTTGTTATAATAATCGATAAATTATTTTTATGGCATTTTATTTGTCACTAAAATAAATAAATGAGAAAATAAAAATAAATAAACTATATTTGGTACTATAATTTGTATGTATTATTAAAAAAATTTTAAATTGATTAAAAATTAAAAATAATATTAAAATTTTTTATTTAGTACTAAACTTTTCTATTTTCTCATGTATTTATTTTAGTGACAAATAACATGCCATAAAAAATGAAAGAATTGCAACGCTAATCCCAAATCGGCATGTTTAGACAAAGTCTAGACATATATATTATTAAAAAAATATTTTCTTATCTTAATATTATTTTTAATTTTTAATCAATTTAAAAATTATTTAATAATACATACAAATTATAGTATCAAATGTAGTTTGTTTATTTTTATTTTCTCATTTATTTATTTTAGTAACAAATAACATGTCATAAAAATAATCTATCGATTCAATTATTATAACAAATCG